AAAAAAACTTGAAAAGGGTCAAGGTTCAACCGTAACATCAAGGTTGTTGGACCTAAGTGTCAGAATTGCTGCAACAATTGTGGCTGTATTGACTACATTAGTGTGCAAGTTGCCACAATGTCAAGGACTGCATTGCAACGAAACTAGAAAACTCAACTGAACAAGAAGAATTGAAGCGACGGATACCTCCTTTAAGCGAAGAACCCTCTCAAGAAAGCCTTTGAAAGCGTCTTTCCTCTGATGGAAGCAAGTCCAAGCAGCAACATTCTCACGGAACTGGAAGCAAGGCACACAATATAAGTAACACATGAATGAGATTGAAATGAAACAACGCACAATGAGAAGAGAAGAGAGAGGACCTTCTCGTTGACCATGATGATGATGGACATGACGTGCTCGAAGGTGGCAGTGAGAGGATCGAAATGAGGCCACAAATAATTCTCGAGATACTGACTAACCTCCAGAATCATAACGCGTTGCAAGGGCACGGGTTTGGAACCCTCCTTCACCAACAATTCGGTCTCGTAGATTTTGCGAACCAGGTCAGGGTCCAACTCCTTCTTATCCCTCGCGGCCGCTGCTTCGCCGCTCGTCAACCAGTTCTCCTCCGCAATCTTCGTCAGCCGGTCGCGCTGAATCTCCGACAGAGTGATGCTGCTCGGAACGGCACCGCTGCCACCGGTGGTCACATTACCTACCGCTTTGGGCTCCGCCACCGTCGCAACCGGGTACTCGGCGACGCGGTGGCGGCGGAAATCATACGTCCCCGTGCCGTAAACCTTGGTCATGATGGTTGCAAGGGTAGGGGAAGTTGTGAAACTAGGGTTTTGCGGGTTAAGCCCTACACGAACCAAATACGCTTTTCTTTTGTTTTGGCTCTTAAGATTTACGTCTGCATACGGCAGTTAGTGAGCATCCACTCCACTGGTCAAGATTTGGTGTTGGTTCTAAGCGCGCCCAGCATTCGATCCGTTTATTTAAACGAGATGATGCTTTAAGAGTTTTGCCCAAAAGGTGCAAAATACTACTACTTGCCTTTATCATTTTCTACTACTACTTGCTTGTTAGTCAATATTAATAAATTATAAAATAAAATGTATTTGCTATATTTTATATTTTATTAAAAACAATTTAAAACATTCGAAATCAAAATTATTTGCTGTGAAATTTTGTCTTCTATGATTTTCGAAGGAAAAAATCATTTTAATTTCAAACATGTATTTAAAATAATATTTTTGAAGTTCCCAGGTAAATTGAAATCATCTTGATTTTCTTTTATAAATGAAATAATTGTGACTATCTTTGAGAAGTATTTTTCCTGTAAATAATATAATAATTATTAATCAATAAATTGTTTTATAAACATGTTATCATAAATAATTCCAAGGATATGTATAGATTGAAGAATTTTGTAATTCTTTCATTTTGAATAGTGAGCATGGACAACTTTTTTTCTTCTTTTGTTTGTTACTAAGACTCTAATAAATTAAATAAACACAAATTAAGAATTTTTCATTGAAACTAGGATGGCTTTTTGAAACAAATGACTTAAAATTTTCTAATGGTCTTTATATTGAATCTCAATTTGGTTATTAAATTTAATTTTAAAAATATTATATAATTTCATCTTTATGTTAATACACACTAACAACATTAACTAAGTGTTATGTGATTTTTTTTTATTTTTTCAATTTTAAATTTAAAGACAGTGTGACGTGATAGAAAAGTGTTATATGAAAAATATCAATTTAGTAATTTTATTTGTATTTTGTTTCAACTTAGCTTGACTTTTTTTTTAAATTAAAACAATTTCATCATTCTTTGAATTAAAAGTAAATTTATATTTTATAAAGTTCATGATTAAAGTAGACAAATTTGAAACATATCTATTATAAGATTCTAAAATTCACTATTTAAGACTTACAATTTTAAATACACAGCATACTTAAATACTAACTTAATTTCTATTTTTATTTAGTTTGTTTAATATAGTCTTAATTTCTTTTTCAATCAGGTCTTGATTTTTGTTAAATTTAGTTTTTTTCGCTAATGTCATTTAAATAGTTAATGTTACCGTGTATAGCGTGGCTCAATATTTTAATCGTGTTGTCTCTGTGCCTCTTTTGCTCACCTTTCATAGCACATGACTCACCTATTTCGCTTACTTTTTATGAGTCACTCATTCATCATCTCCTTCATGTTTTCTTCACTTTTGATAAGTGTAACGAGACTCGTCTAGTAAAGGAGTGAGTGATTTAGAGATTGAATAGAGAAACATAGACATGCCTAAAACCCTAAAGTAAGACACACTTTAAGAGGAACACACCTTCCATTAACATCGGGGACACACTTTCCACTTCATTTTCAATTCACTTTCTATTAAGGGCATACCTTCCCCTTTTCGTCACTACAATTAAATAAAATGTTGTGATTTAGAGAAATAAAATTTGATGTTAATGTTGTTTCTCCTAAAATAAAGTTTTGTATGATAAAATGGTAGCTTAGATTGAGTCCAATTTTTTCATCAAGTGATTATGAGTATGATTTCATATTTTTATGTTACATGTAAAAAGTTACGAGGAACCTTGAATAATTACACATTTCTTGTGCTTTTAGGCATTCCTCCATTTTTTTCAATTTCTTCTCCTTAGTCCTAATGCACAATAAAAAAAAGTTGAAATTAGGAAATATCAAAATTAAAATTATATAATTGCTAATATAAATATAAAGATGTGAATGAGAGATGAAATTTTGTGTATGAAAATTGTGGAAATGAATGGAGTTTCAACGATAGAGATGATGACAGAGGTAATAATGGAGGAGAGAAAGATGATGAAAATGACTATGAAGGTGAGGAAGATGATACCTGAAGATCAAAGAATGATAAAAATTAAATAAAGTGTCACGTTATAGTAATGGACTCAGTATACATTATACCGTTAATTATTTAAATAACATTAGTAAAAATAACTCAATTCAACAAAATTAACCAAAATTGATACCTTATTGAATAAAGAACTAAACCAAATTGAAAAAAAATCAATATGATTAGAAGTAATTATTCGTAAACCTTTTCTAAACAGAAGTTATGATTTTAAGATAATGTGGTATGATAGATAAAAAAAATTAAGAACCCGTGTTTTGCAATGAAAGTTGCCTCCTACCAATCCTTTTTATGGTAAGTAAAAATTACCATGATATCTTAAAATTAAAAATGACTATGAATTCACAAAAGAAATTCCGACTTACTTCCTCTATAGTTTTATAACGAAGATGTTTTTAATAAGACGTTGTACCACCTACTTAGTGTAAGTTTTCCATTTTCTTAATTATAGATCTCTTATATCTTTAAATTGGACCATTTATCTTCTAACAAGTAAAAAATAATATGCGTAGTTTATTTGTTTAATAAAAGGAATAATCAAATAACTTATTTATTTTTAAAAAACTAAATATACAATTTTATTTTTTTAATTGTTTGCTCGTAAAAATATTAAAATTAATGTAATAAAAAAGTAAATGCGTTTTCGCTATAAATAAAAAAATTCTCATGTGTGGTACACTGTACAGATATGAGATATGGTTAATGACAGTGAAAATTTCTGAATCGCAAACTATATTTCTTCCATTAAATAAGGAACTAAGATTTAAAGTATGAAGGTGTAACAATAGAATAGAAATGACATGAATTCTCTGTAACTCAGTGAAGTTCGTCGTCATCGAGGGCGGAAGGATCGAGCTCGCAGCATCCTTAGCCCACTCGATTAGTTTCTGAACTTGAGTCTCTTCGTCGTCTTCGCTCTCTTCTTCATATTTGCAGTAATTGGAATCGGAATTGAAGTTAAAATTGGAATTGGATGATTTGGCTTTGAGAGCATCAAATCTGACGGAGAGATCTTGGTTTTGTTGCTCTTGTTGTTTGGGGTTAGGTTTGGTTTTCATTTTCAGGGCTTGAAATCGACGCTCCAGATCAAGATCCAGATCTAGACCCGCAGTCGTACCCGGATTCGGATTTAGAGTGGAAGAAGAGGCACCGGCGATGTGGGCTTGGGAGAGATTCAACAGAATCTGATCTTGCGCTGCCTGCAACATTTCTTCAACTTCATCTTCTATCTTCGTCTTCTTCTCCTTCTTATTACTCTTGTTGCTTCCTTTCATCTTTTTGCGTTGCCATTCATTCAAATCCCTTGTTACACCTAATATCTCTCTATTTTTTTATTTTATTTAGTATGTTAAAATTAATATAATATCAAATACAATTTTTTGAAATCAAAAGTTTAAAAAAGTTGAAATATCAATAATATTTCAAACATGCAAACATTTTTCATTTTCATGGAATACATATAGATCATATAGATACTTTTATAATTTCTCTCTACTTTATCTATTCTATTTTTTTTAGAAAACTTCTGTTTGTTCAATATTTTGCATTTCCTTTTTAAATATACTCTTCTTCTTTAGTACCTAATTATTTCTTTAATCACACCTAAAATTTAAAGGATTGATAATCTTTTAATCTCATTATTTATTTGACATTCGTAATAATACCAGTTTTTTGATTTTTTTTTTAATTTAAAACTCAACCATGTGTGGATCACTTTCATCAACCAAAATCCATAAATATATGTGGTTTTTAACAGTATACTAGTATAATCCCATGGAACTAACCGCGTTTTTAAAAAATTAGAGTTTCTTATCAATCTACAATATTAAAACTTTAGTGTTTTTTTTAAAATAAAATTGGAGAATTTGAATGACTTTATATTAGTTAAATTGAACAAATAAACAAATTATATATAAAACAAAAACATGGGCTGAATTAAAAAAAGAAACAAATCACACTACACATTATATTATAAATGAGTATAGTCATTGACTCGCGGGTTTTATTTTTCCCTCATCGAAAATGTAATATTAAATGTAAACGAGCTAAATATTTTTATTTTTTATATGAAAATAGTTTATGTCAAGATTTTGGACTTTTAGGCGGGTTGCTAGGCTTAAGTGAAATATTGCATGTGTTTCAATTTTTGAACGAAGTGAAATGTTTATGTCATGGATTATGAGTGCATTTTATTTATGGTTTTTAATGATGATGGACTATTGGGCTGGTTTGTCATACTAGTGGTCTGTCAAGTGGTTTGTCAAGTTGGTAGGTTGACAGGTTGGGTGAGTCAAATTGGAACTAGCAGGTGGTTCGTTGAACTTGATCGTTTTTTTCTCCTTAACTACTATTATATCGATTTAAGGTAAGATTCTTCCACTTTTTAGGAAGGGATATAAGTGTTGTCATCTAAGAGGGTGTCAAGACTCCCGTAGTTTTGAGTCCGTTATTCCTTGACGAGTTGTGTGTTCTTAGGTAAGGTTGTACTCACTTTCTTCTTCAATCCATTAATAACAGGTGAGGTTTTCTACACAAATCGTGTTACCAAGGTTTTCCATTTTTTCCCTTTTGGGTCTCTCATTCAGCTCAACACTCCTTTTAGCTTGACAATTTTCTTCTTACTAACATCCATCTCTTAGCACTTCTTTTCTAAACTCAACAAACTCTCATTGCATCTTTGCATAGGCATCTAGGATAACAATTATGTTCATTAAAGAGAGTTCTGCTTAGCCATTTTGCTTCTTGTAAACACCATAAATACTTTCTTTAGAGAGTACAAGTCTATCCCATGGTGGGTGCCAATTGTTCTTACAAAGCAAATGTGCACCTTGTACAAACTCGAAAGACACTTCAAATCTTCAATTCTCAAGGTATTCGTCCTCCTTGAGCTGGATAAAGATTGTGCTTCTAGAAGACATTTTGATGTCGAAGTTAGTCTAGTGCATCAACAAACCATAAATATTATTATTAATGAACGTAATTAACATATATCATAGAATATATTATTTATATTATTATTCATGGAGTCTTACTTTGATGAGTTTGGATTTATAAGTTCAAATACTTGTTAGTTCTAAATTAGTATAATTAATCATAAATTATTATAAGTGAATCTGTAGACTTATAAGTTCAAATACTTGCTAATTTTAAATTAGTATAATTAATCATATATTATTATAAGTGATTGTATTGACAAAATAGAATAAATTAAATACATATCATCTTAATATAATGATATTATCATAAATGAATCCTATAGTGATATTCCCTTGGGATACTAATCATCACACATTGTACTTTTAAAATTTTTAAGATGAAGGTTTTGTGTTCCTTTTTAACCTTAAATATTTTTAATTATTGGAGTTAATAATAGGAGGGAAGGCTATCTTCAATCCTTTTAAAAACTCAAGATTAAAAGGGGCAGAAAACTATAACCGGCTTGCTCTACTGCTTTTCTAGGTTTTTGTATTCTTCCATCTCCTCTGAGTTGTTTTCGTTGTTAAATTTCCTTTGCTTCTTTTCATTTCGCATTTGATTTTTATATTCGTGTTTTTGTTTGATTTTTTCGTGATGACCTAAACGGGGTTTGAACCCCTTGTACTTCGGAGCAAGCCCAGTAAGTGGTTATTTGGGTGGTGACATCTATCGGGCTTGCTCCTGTGGTTTCATTAATGGCTGTTAGTCTGTGTTATTGAATATTTTTGGGTTTGTAAAGCACGCTTTGGTAATCTGATAATCATGCTCACTCACCTCCACAACTTTCGTCATGCAGACATTACTGTCTTATTTCTTTTGTCACTCTAAGTAGAAGAGATGGTGAGGCTCACTGCTGATTTGCATGGAAAAGCCCTCATTTTTTCAATCCAGTTAAAGAGCGTGAGTTAGATCTTCGAGGTACTCCTATCTTCCTCACACCTTTCCATCTCTCCCTTTTTACTATCCCTCTTTGATGATAACTTTGTCATGTTTTTTACCAGGCAACAAGATAGCTGTATTTGAAAACCTGGGTGCTACTGAGGTGTGCAATTTAGTCTTCTTGTCTTCCTTTTAGTTTCCCACTTTCTCCTTGTATTGTTGAGGTCTTTTTCATTTGAAAGGATGTATTAGCTGATTCAGTTTTCACAATTTTGAGTTCCTTTGTATTTAATTTCCTTCAGGACCAATTTGACACCATAGATTTATCTGATAACGAGATTGTCAAACTGGAGAACGTACCTTATCTTAACCGGTTGGGTACACTGATCATTAATAACAACAGGATTACTAGAATTAATCCCAGCATTGGAGGTACGGTTTTTGAACTTTGAACTGCACATTCTTTCTTCTATTTTCCTCATTTTAGTGACCTTGTCTCTTCTGTCATTTTCATTGCAGAGTTCTTGCCAAAATTGCACACACTAGTTCTCACTAACAACAGAATTGTAAACTTGGTAGAAATTGACCCTTTAGCATCCATTCCAAAGCTGCAGTACCTTAGTCTGCTGGACAACAATATCACGAAGAAGCCAAATTATAGGCTTTATGTTATTAACAAACTGAAATCCCTCCGGGTTTTAGATTTCAAGAAAGTGAAAAGTAAGGTAATGTATTTTTTCCACTACCCATACTAATTTTTTATCGGGCTTGCTGTTTGAAATACCAAAGATAGGATGTTCTGTAGGTGTCTGTGTCTGTGCAGAGTTATCAATCAGCTTTTGAGTGGTATTTATGAAAGATGGAATGTTCTGGTATGTCCTCAAGGTTTTGGATCTACGTATAGTTATATTATTAGGTCTATTTCTTATTTCGAATTACACATGCTCTTCTATTATATTTCATTCTTTTTATGGTTACTTTAAATTAATAGGAACGGTTGGAAGCCAAAAGCTTGTTTGCTTTGGAAGATGTTATGGATGAAATTCAAAGGTTGCCACCCAAACCAGTTTCACCTGCTGAAACTCCAAAGGTTTCAGAAGCAGCTGAGGAACAACAAACACCAAAAGCGGTTGCTCCCACACCTGAGCAATTACTGCTATCAAGGTGCAACGATGATACCTGAACATGTCATTTTATTTGTGGGCTTATCACAGTAGGGTTGAACATGGCCCATATCCAACATGCTTTCATGCTTAGTTCAGATATATAATGTGTTCTCTCTTTCATCTGTTGATGCACTTTGATAAATTGTAGATGAGAAGATTTCCTTGTTTCTTACCCATATCTTCTCAGCAAACCATTGGAAGCTATTCCAAAAGTCCTAAACAGATATTTCCTTGGTTACCTGTGGTTTGACGTGTTTTTGGTTTATGCAGGCTGCCATTGTGAATTCTCAGACTCTTGAGGAGGTTGCTAGACTTGAAAAGGTGCTTACTTTTTTCTAAATTAGATAGTCGGTTATTGGATTTTAATTTTTTATTTGTGTCATACTCTTGCTTAAATTATATTGATGTTAATTTTAATGTATATCAATGTAATACTTATTAAGTTCAATAATGGTGTGAACTAAAATGGTTTTAACTGTTGTAAACTGATTTTCCTTGTTGAATTATTTAATCTATTATGAAAGGACTATAATGAATGCTATACATCTAATCCTTGTTCATGATTGCAGGCATTGAAGTCTGGCCAGCTTCCTGCAGATATAAAAGGCTTGAATGATAATATACTGTTGGATAATGTTACTGAAAAACCTGAAGATATGATTCATGATGACAGAGGTCAAGCTGATGGTGAATCCAATGTACACAAGACAT